TTTATTGGAAATTGTAATGTTATTTTTATTTATTATCGAAAATACATACATGTGTATAATATGTGTGCAACTAGTGTTGTTTTCTTCATAAAGATGTAGTGTAAAACTTAATTATCTTTTTTTTAAATACTAATTCACTTGAGTTGTTATTTCAGTTTCTGGACCTTCCTTGTACATAAATATATTTCACTAGTTAAATGCTAGACACTAGTGACCGGTTATCAGTATGTATACGTACATAGGTGCATAAATACCAATATAGGATATAAGGTACTGGAAAAGTACTAATTTTCTTTCAGTGATTGAAACACCGTACATGAAATAATTATTATGTATTTTCCTTGGAAAAAATATTTTTACTCCAAAAACCACCTATATATTATAGAAGTGTGTTTGACGACAATTTGAGTTGAATGCACCACTGTCAGAGGAGACAATCTGACGGAAAAGTCACGTTCGGGAAGCAAATGTAAAGCAAATGAATTTTATAATTTTGTCACGTTTAAAGGCCGAAATGTATGTGTATGTTGAAGAGAGAGATGGTGGGAGAGAGAAAGAAAGGGAGAGAGAGAGAGAGAGAGAGAGAGAGAGACACACACACACACACACACACAATGATAGAGTGGATAAACGTGGAAATCAATAGGTTTAATTTAATTACATACAAAAATAGGTAAAATTACGTTGATGCGAATACGTAGTAGGTATTTATAAATTATAAACATACGTGCACAGTAGTAGTAGGGTAGTTATATAGTAGTAGTAGACTACATTTTGTGCACTCCATTTTACAAAGGGAGGCCGGTGGTTAATTGCAAACATGAAAATGGTAAAGGGACGTTCCCGTGTGAATTTGTGTCTAGCGAACATGAACGATAACAATATAACATAACGACAATGGAAATTATTGTATAATATGTGAAACACAACATAAAGCTGTTGTCTGAAATCATTTTTATGGTCGTATGAATTATAATTAATTATTTTTATTGCTATTATTTTGATTTACCTGATCACAATTAACACATTTTATTTAATTTTACTTCCATCCTCGATCCTTGAAGTTTGCATCTAAATTCGTATTATGTGATTTTCTATATAGTCGTTGACATTGATTACAACGACCAGAATAATAAAAACTATTGTTTAATTAAACTATATAGTATAGTGGCGTCTACAAGACAGTTATTTGAATAAGACAATATATTATTGTACAGCACTCAAAGAAATAATTGCATAACATAATATGTTGTTTTATCTGCAACTATTGTATAAAATACACAGTGAATACTAAATTATTACAGCTGATATTAATAATTTGTGGTTAACATAATGTAAGACTTCTAAAAATATCTAACCACAGTACAAAACAGCATAACAAAAAAATACAAACACAATATTGTTATAAATTATGTAATATTATGCACTTGGAGTAAAATAAAACCTCTATAATATTTTATTTTTAGAATAATTAAGCTAGAGTAAATTTAACTTTATCGACAATTATGCTCATCCACAGTGAAATACTATTATGTTATTGTTATAATGTTCTAGCATCTTCGTTTTAACCTAACCTCACAGAATTCAACTGGTTGAATGGATCACACAAACCAAACGAAGTTATTAAAATATGTATACATAGGAACCGTTCGCATTCAATTTCTCGTCAGATTCTGAATAATAGAGACAAACGCTGTAATATTTTGTGAACTGTCACAGTGTTAAATAAATTTACGGTCGTAACACACACTGGTTGTTAACTTTGGTAAGAACAGTGGAGGGCCGAGGGAGTTGTAACGACGCGATTCTTTTATTAATATTTTTTTTTTATAAGCTTTGTTTTATATTAAAAAAATAAATCTACGAAATTGGTAGAGTTATATATATATTTACATGATTTTGGACAGGTTTCTTGCAATATTGTTTATCTTCTGTGGACTGTGATCCGTCCATTACAAATACTTTATTTACTCACGCAAGTATTAACCGGTGTGGTCGTTGACATACTAAATTCAATTTAAACTGTTATAAAATCAATTGCTGACGATTAATAGCTTATTTTTTTATTTGTTTCGTTAGGATTTAGAACTTCTCAGAAATTCTTGCCGTTTTATGTACTTTATTTTTTCCAAGGAAAGTTTATTTAAAAAAAAATGTGTTATACTAATTTCACGAAAAACATGTTCGCTGTCAGCCTTAAAATCCTGTAGTACATCACAATTTATTTACAAGCATATACATTAATAATTAATGTTTTAACTTTTTTTTCTAATTAGAAAACAAATTGTGTCATAGTATAAAGTGAATTGATACAGCAGTTGTTGCCATAATATTATAATATTTACATTATGTTAAAATATTAAATTATTATTCAAAGACAATATTATGTTTGTGAATATTTTAGACCTTAACAACTATTGAACTATCAATTCCATATGGGTATATCGTATATAGCACATTAATATTTAAAATAAAGTTGGTTTAGAAGTTTTTTAAAATTGAAAAATAAATCATACCAGTGGTGTTTCTAAGGATAGAATGCTTTCTATTTATATTACTTACCGTTGTTCGTCAGAGGTTTCATCTCTTTACTCTGTGATGGCGTCAATAACAGCATACGTGACAAAACTCAAAAACACTTCTAAGTGCACATGATAAAAATATCTACTCTGGCGTGGAATTCAATGAGACATATTTGTTAGTCGTTGAAAAATCACTCGGTCAGCTTAAAAATATGTTATACAGAGCAAGTATTAAAGATCGTTGTCTATTAATTTTTGGTTTTTGAACCTATTGTGTTCGCATAATATTGAATTTTTGTTCCTATTGTGTGTCCCCTTTGAACACGATATATTAAAGTTGTTTTGATGCTCAAGAAAATACGTGGCAATAACGATCCAGTTAAGTCAAAAGTCGAAACTTTACCATTGTACTAAACTTTATGAATAATATAAACCGTAACCATTTTGGTCAATATATCAAATGTCAATAACATACGAAAAGTTCAACAATATAAATTAGTAAGTCTATGGTATTTTATGTAGATACATTTATTTATATGCCTATTATATTATAATAATAACCTATATGGCTATATTATCTATCGTCTGAAAAATATTTCCTTGGGAATTTGGTATATTAATATGTTCACTATGAATTATTAACCATCAAACCTAACCTAACCTTAATTACACAATTATTTTTGACTAATAAACATATCGAGTAACTATAAATGATACTGATATTATACTTGAAGATAGAGTGGCATTAAAATCACTAAATGATTGCTATCTTAGGCTGCCTTATTATTTTTGATGGGTATATACATTATTATATACTGTTTAAAAAAAGTTTAAAAGGTGAGCAAACAGATTAGTGGGGCAAGTGGCTTAACCACAACCAAGAAAATGAAACGATTATGTTTTTTAATTATTTCAATTAAACGGAACCGCAGTTTTCATCTGGCGTTGAGATTTGGGAATAATTTTCATGCACCAAGTGCATAATTAAAAGCTTTTTATTTTCAGCAGTATGATTAGAATTTATTTCTAACTTAACATAATGTTATAGAGAAGAAAAAAATCTGGCAAATAGTAATTTATTTATTATTCTAACTAAGATGTGAATCAAAAATGATTTTCTTAGTGTATACATTTTAATTTACAACAAAGTATATCATAGATTAACATTATAATAATGAACTGACTGTAACGATGACAGTATAATAATATTAAATCAAGATTATTTGTCGAAAGTTAATAAAGTTAAAAAGTTATTAGGTGCCAATAACATAGTATTGATTAATTAAATAAATTGAAAAAATTAACAAATTAAATTGTATCAATTTTTCTACACATCTCTTAGTATACCAGTGTATGAATTATATAAAGTAATCAGAATAGTGTTGAATAATAAATAAATAATATCCCATAATATGTTGATTTAATTTTATAATAATACACTGTAATAAAATAAATAGCTATACAATATATGCCAGACTTGTGTTTTATTATATTGTAATTGACAAAATTAAATTAATTATTTTACTATACCTTTATTTAGTACGAAAATATAATATGTATAAATATTATTGAAATGGTATTGTTTATATAATAACTAGTTCAAGTGTTTGCTAAAACATTACAGAAAATACTGTATGTAATATGCTATACATTACCTTACATTTTTTTTTTTTTTCTAATTGATCTTTTTGAAGCCCGGCGACTATGGCCATTAGCTTGATTGTGGGGTTATGATTGTAGGTAGTAGGGTTTGAAATTGTAGGGTTATTACACGTGTGTGTTGTGTTTGGCAGAATTTCTATTGGGGCACCCGTAGGTTTCTGCCATGCCCCGGAGTGGGGGATGGCGGCACATGTTCTCCGAACACCGTGACTTGCCCGGAGAAAAATGCCGCCCAGTGGTCGAGAGAATCGAACCCGCGACCGCCAGCGCCTCAGACGACGTGTTCGACCGCTCGGCCACCTCGTCCCCCCTTACATAATTTTATACATTTACATGCACACATTTATATTAATATTATTCATATGATGTGTATGCACATATAGGGTGATTCATATTCCCCAATAATTTATTCAGTCAACTTTTGTGATTATGTAATAATCATTTTTTTTTTTTTTTTTTTTTTTTTTTTTTATTTTGAAATAGGTTCTTATCGGAAATTTATTTATATGGTAATTTGTATGTATGAAATATATAAATTATTTAATGAATAGCTAAGTTTTCTAATCTTAAAATATTTTTAAATAAGAAACTACTTGTTCAATGTACTGGTATGTACTATGTTCTGTAAGAATTAATAGTGAAAAATAAAAACCTAAAAATCATTAAGTACCTATGAAAAGAAACTACGAAAGAAATAAATTCGTTTGCAAAAAATGTAGTGTGTTAAGTTCTGTATTCAAAATCACAAAAAAGTTTTTAAGAGTGTAGTATGTTTTAATGGATCACCTTGTATATATAATGTGTTTTTTCCCTCAGAGATAAAGAGGGACCACGTGGACAACAACCACCTCCGCTATTGCGATCGAGTACCTTGCCTGCCATTATTGTACCTGGGCTCAACATTTTACATGCTCAAATTGGACCAAATTCCACACCAAACGGTATAGTTTTTATTTCTTATTTATATGGTATAAGTACAATGTAGTGTTTTCACAAGTTTGATGATAGACTTAAGTTAAAACACTAGCTATAGCACAACAATATATTTATATGTATTATATTACCTAGAAGATAGAGAAATAACTTGTAAAAAAATTAAAGATAAAATATCAAAAATTTTGAGAGGTACTTATTGGTATTTTAGTATATTATAATATAATATTTTATATTATTATGATAGTTTACATGCTTAAAACCGATATATTTTTGAATTTAAGTAAGTATATATCAATAAAATTGGACAACTTCAACTTCTGACACTCATTTACTTTTTCTCTCCTCACAGCAATCACTGTCAATTCGAGTAAATTTTTTGCATATTTCATACGAACGCGATATAGGTTTTTTCATCCACTTTATTAATACAATAATGAATAAATTATGATCGCACGGCGGTATGGATAGGCAATTTTGCTACATCAGTGTCGATATTACATTTTTACGGTGCCTCAAAACTATGACATGTTAAAATACTTGAACTACGATATTAGCAATGTAATAGTGATTAACCAGTAAGTGTGAGATAAAATTAGTAGAATGGTTGTCCATGTGACAACGTCATTACCACAACCGTAATCAACACGGTCCTACTATTTTCACTTCTTTGGTAGAGGAATGTTAGGTGTTCGAACGACTGACCAATGCAGGACACTCGATATACAATTGAGCTGTAATTTCTAACTTCCAAAAAACTGTATGTATATTAAACGTACAATCAAACCCTTGATAAACTCGAGTGCACAATACAAGCAAATTCAAACAATTAATAATTAATATTTTTAATGAGAAAAATGGCAGATCTTGCTTTTAACTACCAAGCTGCTTTAAGTCGGGGTTATGGTTTGTGGTCGCTATCTTCATCATCATTTCAAGGTGTTTGTTTTTGAGTCGGAATTGGAATTTATTTTTGATATAATTCATTTTTGGAAAAGCAGACTCACAGACGTATGTAGAGCCAAACATTGTACACATATTCACTGTCAATAATTTCAACGTCGGGTATTGATATTTCTTTTCAGATACATATTTAAATAATAATAAATAAAATAAATAATTCATCATCATATGTAGAATCAATTTCAGTTTTTGAATACTTTTCACTGTACAATTTTTTTAGGATATCATCTGATTGTAATTAAGTTATTTCCATTTGAAGATGGAAATGATCTGTTGTATTTGAAAACATTTTCTGCTCCGTTAATCCATTCACCGTCAGGCTGCAAAGTAAGACTACTGTTCGATAGTTGTACAACGTTTTTGATTTTTCTGAAATCTGCAAAGCGTCTTTCGAATTAAGTTTTTAAACTATCCAAAAACTTCGTAAAATTTCTGATATCAATCTCATCTTTTTCATCAACAACTTTTTTCGAGTTAGGAAAGTGTAAACGTTCATTACCAACATCTTGTAAAAAAAAGGAAATTTTTCTACAAAAACAATTTACCTCTGAAACTAAATGGCAAATTAGTTTCTGATTACCATGAAGTTTCAAGTTGAACGAACTTATGTATTGAAATACATCTGTCAAAAACGTGATAGTTGCTACGTTACTGTTATTACTGATAAATTTGTGATAGTCTTCGGCTGGCAAATGTGTACTCTGAATTAAAAATAGTTCAATTTCATTCAGTAAGTTAAAAAACCTTTGCAAAACATTTCCTTTGCTTAGCCATCTCACATTATTATGAAGTAATAAATCGTTGAACTGAGTATAATTTTCTTGAAGAAGTGCCTTAAATAGTCTGTGCTGGAGTGAAGATTTTGCACGTATAAAAATAACAATACTAATAACTGTTTTCATAATTTTTTTTAAATAGTTTATTTCCAGATTGAAGCATACATTCTTTAACAATATCAGCATCTGTAAATGGCTTCATATGTTTACCGAGTATCCACGAAATTCGTAAAGAAGCCTGTGTACATTTCTGTTGTTCAGTCATGGCCAAATTTGAGTTGCCGATTTATATTTCATTTTTAGATTTTCAATTTTTGTTTTACGAAGGCCAGTATACCCAATGGGAATTTTTCGGCAAATGACTTCTGTGTCTCATTATGACGTTTGATATTAAGTACTTTCATAACAGCTCTGTTTGATTACAAATCAAACAAACCGGTAAGGCACCTACTATATCTGGTAAAGTAAAACAACATAAGTCCATCCGTTCAGGACAAAATTGTCTGTTTTCATCTCTACTTTTCTTCTTTTTCTATTCATATTCAAATTAAAACAAAGAATAATATATTATTTAATTACGAAAATGAATAAACAAAACGGACGAACAAAAATTACGTCGCAGCGGACACCACCGTCACATCGATAAATGACGGACTGACGTGTTGTACGTATATTAATATGTGTGACTTAACGAGTTGTCGACTTGTCGTAATTAAATTTCAAATAAATAAAACAACAGACGAGTTAAGATATACTTCACAGCTAGTATAATATTTGTTGCAGCCGAAATAACCTAATAATGCAGTAATAATGTACAAAGATAAGAAATTACCTGCAACATTTATTATTACAACAGTCACCCTTGATAATAATTACTTATTAAATTATTGGCTTTTTCTCTCAGTCTGCGGGCCGGTTAAAATGCATTCGCTGGCCGCCATTCGGTGATCCTTAATATAGATGATTGTAGTTAAAATTTAAAACTATTTAAAACTACTATCGAAATAATTATTTTTATCTTCATTAGCATTTTGATTTGTAATTATAATTGTGTGATATTTAGAATAATTTTTCAAATACGTAGTTCCTTACCTACTATTTTAATAATTACATTGATTTTTAAAGTAATAATTAAAAATATTTTTATTTGACTTATTACTATATTTTATTAATTAAAAATAATGAATAGTCGGGATGTTATTTATTATTAATTTTTTTGGTTTGTACTTTTTTACTTAGCCTGATGTAAAAGTTATTTTATTTTCACTTTTAACTTAACTGATATTCGTTTTTAAACTGTTTTTGATTCGATTTTAGATTTTCAGCGATGCAAAGAATGCTATCAGTTTTACAATGATGTATAAAATGTATTATCTTTCCCCGTAAGCAGTTTTCGAGCAGAGATAGTGCTAAAGAGTTACATAATATACCAAATAAAAAATCTAATTTGAGAGGTCGTTCTCCAATTTTTTAGTAACTTCTTTAAGTGTAATGGACAACTAACAAAAGTTAGCACACTAAACGTGATTTTCGCTGAGCTTTTACTGAGGTTTTCACCCTAATTCGCCCAGAATTGTGTTTCAAATGAAATTACTTGACATAACTTTTACATTTATTATCAGTTTAATCCCACTAACCTATCCCCAAGTGAGTTTAGAAAGACCAATGCTGAGTATTGATGTATGTACCTTGTTCGGTGACATAATTAATTGCAATTGAATTAACTTTATTTTTTGATACAATAGATCAAAATATGGAAAATTATACCCTTAGAAATTAAACGATGAATTATTATGTATTATACTTACAATTTATTTTTAATTTATTACTTATACTACTATAGTTTATTATCATTGTAAATCAGGATGACTTATTGGGAAGGATTTAAAATAATTTAGTTTTTGCTTGATGAATGCTTGCAATAAAATACGGGTTCTATCACCAGTAAAATTAGTCATTATAATAATAATTATATTAGTTCTTACCATATTATGTAATATTTATTATAATTATTATAACAACAGACTATAGTCACAACTCAAAATGTTTATAGTTTATCCGAGTCCATGACCAATGTTTAATATACTGGATCAATACTGCACATCCAACTAATGGTTTGTTCGATTTTGGTAATTTCATTAAACAGTTATTTATAACTGCGAACACCTGTGAGTTCGTTGGGTTTATAACTGATCTCTGCTTTTACCGGTACCATGTTATTCTCACATTTATCAATTTGCGATTGTTAGGCGAAACAAAAATAATAGTTTCGCAATCGATTGAGATACATTATTATTAAAAATCCACTTTTCAGTATTACCAAAGTATTAACCATATATATTTTTTTAAGAATTTTTTTCATTTTATAAAACGAATCAGTCAGAATAGTTCTTATTTTTAAATATTTACTCAATGTATAACTGAAAGTTCTAACCTTATAAAATAGTTCATAGCTTAGAAATGTGTTTGGTTTTTAAGATTTTTGTTTTAATTCAGAAAATATTTTAAGAAAATTACTAAATATGTTTGTAAATACAAAATACACATCATTTTAGTAGAGTTAAATTAAACGATCTTTGTTCAGGAACAAAAAAGTGTAGACAGTATGTTGTGTCTTTTGTAGTTTTTACTATTTAAAGTTATAATATTAGAAATAGTATAATAATATAACTACTGATTATTAATGAGGTTAATTTTCATTTAATCTAAAAAAATAAAATATCGGACGAGTAGTTTACTAGTTATAAGTATTTAAGGTATAGATGAGTAGAGTAGAAAATATGTATATGTTTTTATTATTTAAAATAATGAATGTCTTAAGTTAAATGGATTATCCAGTATATATTACTATTCTAGGTTAGTGATAGAATACATTATATTTAATTGGTTTAATTTTTTATGAATTAATATAGGTAAATAATATGTTAAAATTAAAAATATATGGTAGTGCCTATATCTGCATTATATATATCAACGAAGCTTTTGTTTCACACACACACACACGCACGCGTTTATGATGCAAGTATACATACTGGCATTCTTAAAAATAAAAAATAAAGCAATTGAATATTTCTTTTTTTCATTTTCCAATTCAAAAACTTGAAAAGAAACTTTTACATGGCTGTCGGATTCGTTTTTATCTTGGCCTAGATTTCGTGGACCCCTGGATGGGTTTTCTACTCTGATATTCTATATGAATTTATTTTATTATATCTATCAAAGATATACATATTTTTTGTTATTTTTCTAGAATAGGTTTTTACATAATTAATTTTATTATTATGGTGAAAATATGATTGCATATTATTAAAACTAATAAATAGTTTTCCGAATTATTGATTTTATAAAAAAAATAAATAAATATTATTGCAAGATGTTTTTATAAAGATCATAACCAGAAAGATATTTTTTTATAATTTTATTAAAGTTTAGTTAATAGTATCAGTTAATCTATTTTAAAAACAGTCTGATGTTCATGTTTTAAAAAAAAGGTGGGTAAGTGGATGTCGCTCTGCTGTACTGTAGGTTACAACTTACAAGTGGGTCACTGTATAATGGATGGTATTAAATTTGAATGCAATGATATAATATCATTGTATAAGAAAAACGATTCTGAGCGGAGACGGTATGTTAGTCTAGGTATAAGACATATTATATACTTTTCTATGGTATTAAATTATATGGAATTTATGAATAAATTCCTTAAAATATGCACAGTCTTATCATGCGCATAATTCTTATTCCTTATACAATGGTAGATTGTATGGATAGGCCATAATATTTTGATTTTTCAGTTTCATATATCCCCAAATAATATTTTTAAATTACAACAAAAACAAAGATCGTTAATATTGATTTTAATATGTAATTTCGTCCAAATTTGAATTTAAAATGTCTGTAAAAAATAACTGTGTTCATATATTTTTTAGATTTTTTGGTTACAGTATGAACTAATTATGAGAACCTTTGTTTTAAATCTGCAATCTTTAGCTATAAAAACTGAACATTTTATAATTTATTAATTACAATGATTGATAATTTTCGAGATTTTGATAAATTTTGTCAAAATTCGATGTTTAAATGCTTATAAAAAAAAATTGTGCCTATGTATTTTTAAAATTTTTCAATTGCTACTGTAACAATATATCAGGAACCTTGCATTAAATTTTTACACTTTTTGGCCCAACAGATAAAACTTTATTGATATTTATAGAAAAAAAAAAACTAAAAAAATTGAAAACTGAAAATGTCCGTAAACAGCTCAAAAAGAGACAAAATATTTTCAAAATTGTACAGTGTATAGGAAATGCTAATGTGAACATTCAGTGAAGTTTTCATGTATCTATAGTTATTCGTTTTTGATTTACAACAAAATAAGAAAATCGCTACATGAGAAATCAAGTGAATATCCAATGTTGTAAAAATTTGAATTTCAAACGCTCATAAAAATTTAATTTGACTTTCCGGTAGAGATTTTTTTATTGATAAAGGTAGACAATCTTATGAGTAATCTTGTATTAGATTTTCAAATCTTAGATTTAAAAATTCTTAACTCAAAATAATTTACTAATTTTCGTGATTTTTCCATATTTTGTCAATTTTTGAACTTTAAATGGTTATACAAAAAAACTGTGACTAACGATTTTTAATATTTTTCATCTGCCTTTGAAACAATATACTAGGAGCCTTCTATTAAATTTTCAAGTTTTTTAACCAACAAATAAAATTTTATTGATATTTCTAGAAAAAAAACTAAAAAAAAATGAAAAATGAAAATGTCCCTAAACAGTTCAAAATAAATCAAAATACTTTGAAAATGTTATCGTGTATAGAAAATGCAAATATAAACAACCAGTGAAAATTTCATGTATCTACGGTCATTTGTTTTAAAGTTACACCAAAAACCAAATTCAATTTTCTGAGAAAAAGATTTTGCGTAAAAATTCCCGTTTTTCCTTAATTTTTCTTTTGTTTTTTTTTGGCGCTTTTGAAAAGTACTGAGAATTTTGACCTCCCCAATATATTCAACGATATTCAACGATATTCACTTTCCAATCGAACAAGATACTGAAGTCGAAAATCGAAGCATTATTTCGACTACTTATCGTGTACACAGACACAAAAAA